CGCTTCGCGACTGCGGAGGATGGGCGCGCATGCTGGAGCTTCGCGCTTGCGACCCTCGACTGCTTTGGTCATTAGTATTTAGCCAAAACCCTTTACTTTGCGGGAGATTAATAAAAAAATTTTTATTTTTAACCTTGTAAAACGGTGAGGCACTAGTAGAGCGCTTCCGCGTAGCCCGGTACCGCATATTACGGTACCGGGTTGCGGAGCGTGTGTACCCCGAACTAGAATAATTTTACACTCCACCTTAAGGATTATGAAGGTTACTCGGCAGGCGTGGGGAGGGTTGTGTAGGCTGGAGATTAAGGGAAGGGTGAATACTACCATACAGTCCTCGGTCCGCTGTCTGCCTCTGCTTTAGGGCAGTAGCGCCCGGGCTACCCGATTGTCCGCCCTGCGGGGCGAAAACCTGGGTTAGGTAGAGGGTAATCTTTCACTAGAGATATTTATTAATTGGTAGTGTACAATAACAAGCCACTCACTTCTGAAAAAGCTAAACTTTTAATAGACAAATGCTGCCTACTCCGCAAGCCCTACGCAGGGTTCGTGGTTGCGGCCTACGCGCTTGCGGCTTACGCGCATGCGCGCATGCTGCGTGCCTGCTGTGCTGCGAAGCCCTTTGTGCTACTTAAGCTGTAGTCCAGCTGGAGCATTCCGAGTGCGGAGAAATAAGGGCAACCCCCCTGCAGGCGAAGCACCGCTCCGCAGGTGTTTCGCGACCCTTGCTGGGCGCAGGAGAGTAGCGCGGGCGGGCAAGGGGTAACCGAAGGAGCAGGGCGCCCTGCAGGGCGCGAAGAGGTCTTCTCCTAAACAAAAGCTCCGGAGCGTAAAACCAGCCCTGCTAGCTTAAACCTCAAAAGGGGGGGGAGGGTTAGCCTCCAAGCCATGGTTAGCAAGCAGAAAAAAGACAGAGCAAGCTATCTAGTGGAATAATAGGTTGAAAAAATAAATTTTTTTATTTAGTTTGCAAAAAATTTATTTTTTATTTAGATTGCAATAAAAAAATTATGAACTCGACTGTTCTCAATTAGTATACCTCCCTACACTTTCTCTTATTGTGCTCCCTCTCTACTAATGGAAAGTGCAATATAATAGGGGAGCACGCCCGAAGGGTGCGTAGCTACTGCTACAAAAAAAGAAATTATTAGCATCGACTTTTTTTACTTAAAATTATGCCCTCCCCACCCGCGCAGCGCTCCGCAGGGGCAGCAGTCCTCCGCAGGGCGCAGTGCTGCGGGCCGCAGTGCTGCGCCGCGAAGCGCGCGGCGCGCACCCCATTCGGAGCAGCGGGGCTGGTGGAGCAGCAGGTATTACGCGCATGCTGACCATAAGGCTCGGTGGTTTAGCGCTCGCCGCCCTGCCACCCCTCCCCTACGCACGCTCCGCAGGGCGCATGCGGAGCGAGGGATGCTTCGCGCCCGCCCACCCTTAAGGGCAAGGGAGGAAGCGAAGCGCGGGAGCGCGTGAGGTGGTTCTGCTTTAGCACTGCAGGTTGCTAAAGCTGCGCGGGTTTGTTAAGATAACTTATAATCCATATTTGGCGGTTTATTATTATTGACCTTACGTAGGCTCCGTATAAAAATAAATTAGAGAACTAAGTTCTGCTCGGCGTTTTCGAAAATAAGCGTACTTGAATAAACGGGAATGCTAAAGTAGAAGTGTACTAATTGCATGCGCCGCGCTTAATAAGATGATAACAAGTCTTTTTTAATTTATTATACCGGAAGATAGAATAGGTCTTATATATTAGTTGCAACCCTCTCGCTTGTGCGCTTATTTAAAAATTTTATATGTTCCAGTTTCAGGCGCTCCGTCTCTGCTAATATTAACCCTCTCTAGTGTTGCTGATTTATAATTTTAGCCTCAGGACAGTAGCTAGTTGCCTTACTGGCCTTCTCCTTACTTCAATGAGAGGAATGATTGCTTCAACCCTTGCACTCATACAGATACAGCCCCTCCCCCGCCGCGCTTCGCGACTGCGGAGGATGGGGGGCGAAGCTGGCAAGGTAAGGGCAGGGTCGGATCAGGTAATGTAGAGCTGGTTACGGCGTAGCCTCCAAGGGTCCAGATTAGGTAGAAAGGAGAGTCCCACTCTTCGATATATAACTTTGACTCCCACATATTATCGTACCGCAGCCTTCCGCCTGCTGCTAACCTATCAGGGAATGCGCTGCAGGGGGTAGGCCCTCTGTGTTGACTCAGATACCTAACCCCTCCCGTCAGCGAGCGAAGCTCTGAGGAGCTCCGCTGTCTCGAGGCCGCTAGCCCGAACTCTGAGTAGCGTAGCAGCTAAAGCACAGCAGGCCGTTGGAGCGAAGCGCGGGACCGAGTCTGATGGCTGACCCTTTGTTTGGTACCACAGCCTCTCCGCGTCTGCAGAAAAACCCTTTGTGCAATAACCGCCACAGCGCGAAACAGTACCCGCTAATAAGGGTGAGCGCTTCTCTGCGGTACCTAAAGCTCCTTCACTTGCTTCCTCAGTCCCCAAGCTTCGGAGCCTGGAGCGCTGGCTGGCTCTCAGTTGACGCGGAGCGGTTGCGCCTTTCGAAAGCACTACTCGCGTACCGCGGGTGCGGTGAGTATCAGTCTCGCATCTGCACAGTTGAGGGTGTCTTTAGCAACGCGCCCTACCCTCAGCTGGCCGTCTACTACTCAGCAATCGCAAAGGGCGCCTGGTGCAAACCCTTCCCGCGCTTCGCGACTGCGGACTGCTGTATTGCAGCTAAAGTAGAAGCACCTTGCGGAGTTAAGCTACCGGCAAGGGCAGTTTTACGGAGTCAACTCCTTACCAATATAGCCAGCCAGCCACCCGGTGTAACCAAAACCAGCCTGGACTCGAAAATACCTGGAGTTCAGTACTACTTCTCGACTCCGGCTTAGAGCTACTTCGCCTGCTTTACCTTCCTTCTGTTTTAGCTAGCCAGGCTAGGCTGACCGAAACATGCAGGCGCGAAGCGTGCAAGGCTCTTATCAGACCAGCGTAGCGCCGGAGTGCAAGAGGTCCAGGTAAAAGCAGACTACTGAGGCCACCCCACCTCCCTCCGTGCACGCCGCAAGGCGGACTGCTTTAGCACTGCAGTCCTCAGCAGGGCGCAGTGCTGCGGGCCGCAGGAGCGAAGCGCGAGGCGAAGCAGAGCGTAATATGGGACCGTAAAGGTTAAGCGTCAGGCTTTGTAATCTAAAACTAATATAGTTTTTGCACTTTATTAATATTAATTACTTCTTTTGAATTAAATGACAATATAGGTCAAACATTTAGTATTTATATAATATCAATTGCAGGTGCTGAATCAATAATAGGATTAAGTATAATAGTAGCATATTACAAATTAAGAGGAAATTTATTACTAAAAGTTTAATATATGAATCTTAATTTAATTATAATAAATATTGTAGCTTTACCTTTATTAGGTTCTTTTGTAGCGGGTTTTTTAGGGCGAAAATTAGGAGTTAAAGGTTCCCAATTTATTACTTGTTTATCTTTACTGCTTTCTTCAATCTTAATTAGTATTGCTTTTTATAAAATAGTACTATGTGGTGGAGAATCTATTAATTTAAATTTAGGTTCTTGAGTAGACTCTGGAGTTTTAAATATCAATTGAGAATTTAAATTCGATAATTTAAGTATTTCATTAGGTTTAGCAGTTTTATATTGTTCTACTCTTATTCACTTTTATAGTATTTCTTACTTAGAAACTGATGCCCATAATCAAAGATTTTTTGCTTACTTATCTGCTTTCACAGGAGGTATGCTAGTTTTAGTTTTTGGAGGGAATTATTTTGTAATGTTTGTGGGTTGGGAAGCAATTGGGGTATTCTCCTATTTGTTAATTAATTTCTATTTTACAAGAATACAAGCAAACAAAGCAGCTATATTGGCCTTTACTATGAATAGAACAGGGGATATGATATTAAGTATCGGTTTCTTTGCCTTATTTGGTTTATTTGGGACTCTTAATTACGAGTCTATTTTTTCATTAGCCCCTAGTGCTAATCAATTAGCTATTACTATTATTTCATTATTATTAATTGGGGTAGTTTAGCTAAATCCGCTCAAATCCCTTTACATAGTTGGTTGCCTGGTAGTATGGAAGCCCCTACTCCAGTTTCAGCCTTACTACATGCTGCTACTCTTGTTACAGCGGGAATTTATTTACTATTAAGAAGTTCACCTATTTTAGAATATAGCCCTACAGCTTTACTAATATTAACTTTTATCGGTTCTACCACTGCTTTTGTAGCTGCTTCATCGGGGCTAGTTCAAAATGATTTAAAAAGAATTGTTGCCTTCTCTACTATTAGTCAATTAGGTTATATGATGATGGCTGTAGGGCTTAGTCAGTATAATGTGGCCTTATTTCATGTAGTAAATCATAGTTTCTTTAAAGCTCTACTATTTTTAGCTAGTGGTTCAATTATTCATGCAGTAGCTGATCAACAAGATGTTAGAAAAATGGGTGGACTGATTAAATTTTTACCCGTTACTTATTCCTTATTAATGGTAGGAACTATTTCATTAATGGCTTTACCTTTTGTTTCGGGTTATTATAGTAAAGATTTAATATTAGAATTAGCTTATAGTAAATATAGCTTTAGTGGAACTTATGCTTTTGTATTAGGTTCATTAACTGCTTTTTTAACTGCTTTTTATAGTTTTAGGTTAATAAGTTTAGTTTTCTTAACTTCGCCTAATGGGGGTAAATTAACATATTTAAATTCACACGAGTCTAGTTTTATAATGATATTACCTATGATTATTTTGGGTATATTTAGTATTTTTTTTGGTTATATCTTTTCAGATTTATTTGTTGGAATTGGTACTGATTTTTTAGCGGGAACTGCTTCTAAAGGAAGTGATGCATTATTTATACACCCTGATAATGTAACATTAGTGAGGCTGAATTTAGTTTACCCGTAATTATTAAACTTTTACCTACTTTTTTAAGTATAATGGAGCTTTAGCCTTATATCTATACTTATAAATTAAAGCTCCAATATACTTAAAAAGTAGGTAAAAGTTTAATAATTACGGGTAAACTAAATTCAGCCTCAACTAATGTTACATTATCAGGGTGTATAAATAATGCATCACTTCCTTTAGAAGCAGTTCCCGCTAAAAAATCAGTACCAATTCCAACAAATAAATCTGAAAAGATATAACCAAAAAAAATACTAAATATACCCAAAATAATCATAGGTAATATCATTATAAAACTAGACTCGTGTGAATTTAAATATGTTAATTTACCCCCATTAGGCGAAGTTAAGAAAACTAAACTTATTAACCTAAAACTATAAAAAGCAGTTAAAAAAGCAGTTAATGAACCTAATACAAAAGCATAAGTTCCACTAAAGCTATATTTACTATAAGCTAATTCTAATATTAAATCTTTACTATAATAACCCGAAACAAAAGGTAAAGCCATTAATGAAATAGTTCCTACCATTAATAAGGAATAAGTAACGGGTAAAAATTTAATCAGTCCACCCATTTTTCTAACATCTTGTTGATCAGCTACTGCATGAATAATTGAACCACTAGCTAAAAATAGTAGAGCTTTAAAGAAACTATGATTTACTACATGAAATAAGGCCACATTATACTGACTAAGCCCTACAGCCATCATCATATAACCTAATTGACTAATAGTAGAGAAGGCAACAATTCTTTTTAAATCATTTTGAACTAGCCCCGATGAAGCAGCTACAAAAGCAGTGGTAGAACCGATAAAAGTTAATATTAGTAAAGCTGTAGGGCTATATTCTAAAATAGGTGAACTTCTTAATAGTAAATAAATTCCCGCTGTAACAAGAGTAGCAGCATGTAGTAAGGCTGAAACTGGAGTAGGGGCTTCCATACTACCAGGCAACCAACTATGTAAAGGGATTTGAGCGGATTTAGCTAAACTACCCCCAATTAATAATAATGAAATAATAGTAATAGCTAATTGATTAGCACTAGGGGCTAATGAAAAAATAGACTCGTAATTAAGAGTCCCAAATAAACCAAATAAGGCAAAGAAACCGATACTTAATATCATATCCCCTGTTCTATTCATAGTAAAGGCCAATATAGCTGCTTTGTTTGCTTGTATTCTTGTAAAATAGAAATTAATTAACAAATAGGAGAATACCCCAATTGCTTCCCAACCCACAAACATTACAAAATAATTCCCTCCAAAAACTAAAACTAGCATACCTCCTGTGAAAGCAGATAAGTAAGCAAAAAATCTTTGATTATGGGCATCAGTTTCTAAGTAAGAAATACTATAAAAGTGAATAAGAGTAGAACAATATAAAACTGCTAAACCTAATGAAATACTTAAATTATCGAATTTAAATTCTCAATTGATATTTAAAACTCCAGAGTCTACTCAAGAACCTAAATTTAAATTAATAGATTCTCCACCACATAGTACTATTTTATAAAAAGCAATACTAATTAAGATTGAAGAAAGCAGTAAAGATAAACAAGTAATAAATTGGGAACCTTTAACTCCTAATTTTCGCCCTAAAAAACCCGCTACAAAAGAACCTAATAAAGGTAAAGCTACAATATTTATTATAATTAAATTAAGATTCATATATTAAACTTTTAGTAATAAATTTCCTCTTAATTTGTAATATGCTACTATTATACTTAATCCTATTATTGATTCAGCACCTGCAATTGATATTATATAAATACTAAATGTTTGACCTATATTGTCATTTAATTCAAAAGAAGTAATTAATATTAATAAAGTGCAAAAACTATATTAGTTTTAGATTACAAAGCCTGACGCTTAACCTTTACGGTCCCATATTACGCTCTGCTTCGCCTCGCGCTTCGCTCCTGCGGCCCGCAGCACTGCGCCCTGCTGAGGACTGCAGTGCTAAAGCAGTCCGCCTTGCGGCGTGCACGGAGGGAGGTGGGGTGGCCTCAGTAGTCTGCTTTTACCTGGACCTCTTGCACTCCGGCGCTACGCTGGTCTGATAAGAGCCTTGCACGCTTCGCGCCTGCATGTTTCGGTCAGCCTAGCCTGGCTAGCTAAAACAGAAGGAAGGTAAAGCAGGCGAAGTAGCTCTAAGCCGGAGTCGAGAAGTAGTACTGAACTCCAGGTATTTTCGAGTCCAGGCTGGTTTTGGTTACACCGGGTGGCTGGCTGGCTATATTGGTAAGGAGTTGACTCCGTAAAACTGCCCTTGCCGGTAGCTTAACTCCGCAAGGTGCTTCTACTTTAGCTGCAATACAGCAGTCCGCAGTCGCGAAGCGCGGGAAGGGTTTGCACCAGGCGCCCTTTGCGATTGCTGAGTAGTAGACGGCCAGCTGAGGGTAGGGCGCGTTGCTAAAGACACCCTCAACTGTGCAGATGCGAGACTGATACTCACCGCACCCGCGGTACGCGAGTAGTGCTTTCGAAAGGCGCAACCGCTCCGCGTCAACTGAGAGCCAGCCAGCGCTCCAGGCTCCGAAGCTTGGGGACTGAGGAAGCAAGTGAAGGAGCTTTAGGTACCGCAGAGAAGCGCTCACCCTTATTAGCGGGTACTGTTTCGCGCTGTGGCGGTTATTGCACAAAGGGTTTTTCTGCAGACGCGGAGAGGCTGTGGTACCAAACAAAGGGTCAGCCATCAGACTCGGTCCCGCGCTTCGCTCCAACGGCCTGCTGTGCTTTAGCTGCTACGCTACTCAGAGTTCGGGCTAGCGGCCTCGAGACAGCGGAGCTCCTCAGAGCTTCGCTCGCTGACGGGAGGGGTTAGGTATCTGAGTCAACACAGAGGGCCTACCCCCTGCAGCGCATTCCCTGATAGGTTAGCAGCAGGCGGAAGGCTGCGGTACGATAATATGTGGGAGTCAAAGTTATATATCGAAGAGTGGGACTCTCCTTTCTACCTAATCTGGACCCTTGGAGGCTACGCCGTAACCAGCTCTACATTACCTGATCCGACCCTGCCCTTACCTTGCCAGCTTCGCCCCCCATCCTCCGCAGTCGCGAAGCGCGGCGGGGGAGGGGCTGTATCTGTATGAGTGCAAGGGTTGAAGCAATCATTCCTCTCATTGAAGTAAGGAGAAGGCCAGTAAGGCAACTAGCTACTGTCCTGAGGCTAAAATTATAAATCAGCAACACTAGAGAGGGTTAATATTAGCAGAGACGGAGCGCCTGAAACTGGAACATATAAAATTTTTAAATAAGCGCACAAGCGAGAGGGTTGCAACTAATATATAAGACCTATTCTATCTTCCGGTATAATAAATTAAAAAAGACTTGTTATCATCTTATTAAGCGCGGCGCATGCAATTAGTACACTTCTACTTTAGCATTCCCGTTTATTCAAGTACGCTTATTTTCGAAAACGCCGAGCAGAACTTAGTTCTCTAATTTATTTTTATACGGAGCCTACGTAAGGTCAATAATAATAAACCGCCAAATATGGATTATAAGTTATCTTAACAAACCCGCGCAGCTTTAGCAACCTGCAGTGCTAAAGCAGAACCACCTCACGCGCTCCCGCGCTTCGCTTCCTCCCTTGCCCTTAAGGGTGGGCGGGCGCGAAGCATCCCTCGCTCCGCATGCGCCCTGCGGAGCGTGCGTAGGGGAGGGGTGGCAGGGCGGCGAGCGCTAAACCACCGAGCCTTATGGTCAGCATGCGCGTAATACCTGCTGCTCCACCAGCCCCGCTGCTCCGAATGGGGTGCGCGCCGCGCGCTTCGCGGCGCAGCACTGCGGCCCGCAGCACTGCGCCCTGCGGAGGACTGCTGCCCCTGCGGAGCGCTGCGCGGGTGGGGAGGGCATAATTTTAAGTAAAAAAAGTCGATGCTAATAATTTCTTTTTTTGTAGCAGTAGCTACGCACCCTTCGGGCGTGCTCCCCTATTATATTGCACTTTCCATTAGTAGAGAGGGAGCACAATAAGAGAAAGTGTAGGGAGGTATACTAATTGAGAACAGTCGAGTTCATAATTTTTTTATTGCAATCTAAATAAAAAATAAATTTTTTGCAAACTAAATAAAAAAAATTTATTTTTTCAACCTATTATTCCACTAGATAGCTTGCTCTGTCTTTTTTCTGCTTGCTAACCATGGCTTGGAGGCTAACCCTCCCCCCCCTTTTGAGGTTTAAGCTAGCAGGGCTGGTTTTACGCTCCGGAGCTTTTGTTTAGGAGAAGACCTCTTCGCGCCCTGCAGGGCGCCCTGCTCCTTCGGTTACCCCTTGCCCGCCCGCGCTACTCTCCTGCGCCCAGCAAGGGTCGCGAAACACCTGCGGAGCGGTGCTTCGCCTGCAGGGGGGTTGCCCTTATTTCTCCGCACTCGGAATGCTCCAGCTGGACTACAGCTTAAGTAGCACAAAGGGCTTCGCAGCACAGCAGGCACGCAGCATGCGCGCATGCGCGTAAGCCGCAAGCGCGTAGGCCGCAACCACGAACCCTGCGTAGGGCTTGCGGAGTAGGCAGCATTTGTCTATTAAAAGTTTAGCTTTTTCAGAAGTGAGTGGCTTGTTATTGTACACTACCAATTAATAAATATCTCTAGTGAAAGATTACCCTCTACCTAACCCAGGTTTTCGCCCCGCAGGGCGGACAATCGGGTAGCCCGGGCGCTACTGCCCTAAAGCAGAGGCAGACAGCGGACCGAGGACTGTATGGTAGTATTCACCCTTCCCTTAATCTCCAGCCTACACAACCCTCCCCACGCCTGCCGAGTAACCTTCATAATCCTTAAGGTGGAGTGTAAAATTATTCTAGTTCGGGGTACACACGCTCCGCAACCCGGTACCGTAATATGCGGTACCGGGCTACGCGGAAGCGCTCTACTAGTGCCTCACCGTTTTACAAGGTTAAAAATAAAAATTTTTTTATTAATCTCCCGCAAAGTAAAGGGTTTTGGCTAAATACTAATGACCAAAGCAGTCGAGGGTCGCAAGCGCGAAGCTCCAGCATGCGCGCCCATCCTCCGCAGTCGCGAAGCGCGGCGGGAGCGAAGCGCTAGGGGACTACGAACCCTGCCAACAAGCAGGAGGCGAACCACCGCAGCAGAAGATTTAAGAACAAAAAATTAGACTACTAAAACTATCGAATATTACTAAATTAACTATGCGTAAAGGCCCGTAAATATCTCTGCAACGCTCCACTGTCGCCCTGCTACCGCTGCTGCGCGACCCGCCCCTCCTCACCTTAACTTTGCAGAGATTCGCAGTAGCAAAGCGCGAGGGGTGCTAAAGTTAGGCTGGGAGAGAGTTAGCAGTCCAGGTTGCACTTGAATGAGTATTGCTCTCCCTGCTTACCCTCTGGTCACACCTCATCGGCTCAGCCGAGTTCAAGTTGAGCGTAGCCTCGATTAGCTTCGTAGGCTAAGGTTCAGTAGAAAAAGAAGGTTATTTTATTTGTTAAAGATACTCACTAAAGAGCATGAGGCGGTAACCTATAAAGAATTTTTATAAGTTCTTTTTATTTTCAATATAGTAGGTTTTCTCATTAACTTTTACAAGTTAAGGCTGTCAATGGTAAAAAAAAATTTTTTTTTTCTTCTTAAGAAATATACAGTAGCACACACCCTTCCACGGCTTCAGTAGTTGAGTAATCCCACGTCCTAACTAGGCTCCCGCTACGTAGCGCCGCACAGCGCCGCCCCTCCAGAGCTGAGGGGTAAGCTACGCCCTTCGGAGCGTTCCTGGTCTTCTTTAGAACCGAAGGATGGGGCTCCTTCGGAGTAACCCTTCATGCTCTAACGCACCCCGCGTAGCTCACGCACCTCCGCAGTCGCGGAACGCGCTAAAGCTGGATAAAGGAAAGTTGCGGAGGTAAAAGAGCCAAGGTGGAGGGGAGGGAAGGGCGTATCCTAGGGTACACTCCTGAAGCCGTACCCTTTCACACCCGGTAATGCAACGCTTCGCGACTGCAATACACACCCTAAGATGGCTAGAAGAGTAAAGAGCAGTATAACCTATCCCTCCTTCTCCTTTAGCGGGGGGTGCGTAGCACCGCTGGAGGGGTCTCAGTTACCAAGTTCGAGTCCGCAGACTGCTTCTGCTTTACCTCTGAAGCGTGCGTAGCGCCCGATTATGAAGGTGAATTACTAATTAAAATTTCAAGGAAAGTATTACTGGTTATTAGTCTGCTCCTAATTCGCAGGCTGCCTTAGCCTCCTTCGGAGGATTGCTTTAGCATCCAGATGAGCCAGGAGCGCCTCCTCAACCAGGAGTGCTAGTGTGAAGCAATAGTAGCCTCAATCACAGCTTCCAAAGGTGGTGCTGATAAAGCATGTGCCCTGCGGAGCTCCTGCTGCTCCACCTTCCCTGCAGCTCCGAAGAGGGAACGCGCCGCGCGCTTCGCGGCGCAGCACTGCGGCCCGCAGCACTGCGCCCTGCGGAGGACTGCTGCCCCCTATGGAGCGGTGCGCGGGAGGGGTGAAAATGCAGTAGGAGGGAGGCTAACTAGGCTAACGAAAATAAATAATACTCTTCGTAGCCCCCGCTCCCTTGCTAAAATTATAAGTAAGCAACTCTGATGTTCGAAAGTAGAAAATTTAATGCTAAAAAATTTTTTTTATTTAGCTCTGCAATCCAGCTACTGCTTTAGCATCCGAAAGCTGGAAGGGCTCAATTAT